ATTATTATATTTACCTTTTATTCATTCATACATGTGTATCAAACATTGAATATGTATATTAAACCATAAAATAAATAAATAAATTACATAGATATAAACATATCATTCAAGTGAAATTTCAAAACAGATTATAATGGGTCTCGAACTGTCACATATCTTACTCCATCTGGAGTTACATTCAAAGTGTTTGGTATGGGAGATATTAATGAATCCTGGTAAATGAAACACATATTTGATACTGGTATTTCTATTTCAAAAGCATGCAAATGTTCATTAAAACCTACAGTATTTAATAAATTACACTCAAAAATGATGTTTTCAGATCCATACATATAGATATTTTTAACAGAATATACAAATTGTGGGTTGTCATCATCCAAGTCTCTCGTCAAAATACTATTCACTTTGTATCGTGTTCCTTTAAGTTCAGCCCAACTTATACGAATCGATGTTTCTTCAGTACTAAGATTGAGTTCAGATTTTATTAAGTTATATTTTGAGCAATGTAATATTTTACTAGGACCTATAACAAGGTTATTACACAATAAGCCCTTGGTAAATATGTCGTTTAATTGCAGTTGATGCTTAATAGCTAACGTTTTACAAATATTGCGTCTATTAAAAGAAGACCTAGCAGAAATCTTTGATATTCTATGTTTAGCTTCATATCTCATTGACCAAAAATGGACAACAGGACCAAACTTTCTTATTATTAAGGGATAATGTGTAAGAAAATGAAACTTTGGTTTGAGTGTATTTTTACTATATTTTATATAAAGTTCATTCATTTCTCCTATTAAAATCTCTAATAAAAAACAACTATTCTCTTCTAGTGAAATTGACAACACAATTTCTACAACTTTACTTTAGAAAATATATTATTGAGTAGAAATTCCAATATCTGACATAAAAGTGTTTACAGTAGTAAAATTTTTATCAAATGTAGTGTGTAAATTATAAAACCCCTTTTGAATGAAATACCAAATGGTTTCACATTCTACAGCAGTGGTTCTTAACCTTTTTTAGTTCAGCGCCCCCTTTATCATAATAACTTACTGTTAACGCCCCCCCCTCAAAATCAAAATTTCTTCTAATAAAGATATATATATATATATTTATTTATTCATCAGTATATTACAGTATAACATTATTAACTAAAGTAAAAACTCTTATTTTTAGATAATAAAGGTTATATTTTTCACCACTTAACAAAAACATTTTACTTTACTATACAAAAAGAATTACTTAACTATGAAAAAAAAATTATAAAATATAAAAATTATACCTATCAATGACTGCCCTGAGCCTGATGAGTAGCTGCTAATGTGGCGATGTCTGGTTCGATATTGAAGGTATATTTAATAGCTAGATCACCTTTGTTACAAATGTCCAACCGATTTCTTTGTTTCGTCAAAAGCTGAACAACAACGCTGAATACTTTTTAAACTTGAAAAGGGTACAGTATACAATAGTCCAGTTATGGTTGAAAATGTAAAAATAAATTTTTTATAAACAAGACGTTCCCGATACGTAAAATGCGATTAGATAACATTCCGTAAGTCGTTGTATCGTACGCAATTACAACTATTCTGACTTCACGTTCAATTATTTGTAGTGTTGTTATATAATATTAATAAATTGTATTATTTTTAATCTCCGAGTTTGAAAAAGCTCACCGCCCCCTCAACGCCACCTTCAAAACTATCGCCCCCCATAGAGACCAAAATGCCTCCAAGGGGGCGGTAGCGCCCCCGTTAAGAACCACTGTTCTACAGGATACTCTGCGTTAAATGTTATTGTTGTTTTAAAGCAACAATCAACAGCAGCTAGAATTGAGTTTAGCTGATAAAATACATCATCAACCACAACAAAATAATTTGAAATTTCACTTAAAGTAGGACCTACTATAATAATAAATGGTTGCTGTGTATGACCTAATCCTAACAATTTTTCTTGTTTACGTGATATAGTTTCTTGTACCTCTGCATTACTTCGAATGTGTGTTATGAATCCATCCCGCATTTCTAATTTTGAAAGTTTCCATTGAAGTTTTGTCTTCTTACTTCTAGAAATTGTGACTCCAATTAAAAAAGGCAAGTAGAGAAATGCTGATATGTTTGATGCTTCTTCATGGTCTGTAAATACAAATGATGTTTGTTATTCATAAATTAAGTGATGTGGTTAGAAAAAAATCTTTCAATAATTATGTTTGGTCCAGAAAATAAAGAAAACTATTATTTTTAGATCTGTCAATGGTATTGATACTAAGGAATACAAATATATGACATACTAAAATAACTGGATGTAATGAATCACATAATATTAAATTATATTATAATACATAATAAATAGTTAGAATAAATCAAAAATCCATTTTTTATACATCCTACTCACAGAGTTAAGGACTACAAACGTTATTTTTTTAATTTAATTTAATTTTTTAGTTTACCTTCAGCTCCCAATTGTACATAATATTTAAGAATTTGTTTAATCGAATGTTCTTTGGTTTTTTTAATTTTCTCTGCAGTTAAGCTAAATATTTGGTTCTGATACAATGGCAGATTTTGAAACAATTTATCAGAAAACCCAGGATATGCAATATCAAAATCTTTGAAAATCTGAAATCATAATGAATTAGATACAAAGTTGTATTATTTTAGATGAAAATTATAAACTTACAAGAAAATATCCTGATGGCTTTTTTAAAGCTGGATATTCAGTCATATATGAAGTAATGGACTGCCCATTTTTTGACAGTTGTTGTTTCAAACGGGTAATAGCAGTTATATTCCAATGTTGATCAACTAGTGACCAAGGATCACTAGAATTATGGAGCCAATTTAAGCTATCTTCAACAGATGCAATATCATTATCTAACTGATTATTTGTAAGTTGAAGTGCTTCAGGTAGTAAAATAAGAGGAGAAGAACGTCTAGCTGATGGTGTTGAACTTCGTTTCAATGATCTAATAATTCCTGATTTTCTAAACTCTCTCCTTTTATTGTTGAGACAGTCAAGAAGTTTTCCTTTAGCGGCTCGTTTAAGGCCAGGCCCATATGACAAATATGGTATGGAATAAGTAGGTGTTCGTTTTTTGTTAAACACAGTTGTAATTTCATATGCGAGTTCTTGTAATCTGGATGAAGAAACTCTGATATTAACATCAACACTCAATTCGTTATTAATAACTAAATTGCACAGGCGTTTGCGACCAACACTATCCAGGAGTCCAGTTTCTTGATAGGCTGCAAGTAAAGATCTACCTTCATTTGTACTTTGAAGATGACCTAATAAATTCTGTAAACAAAATTAATTTGATTACAAATATGAAAATGTTTTTCTTAAACGGCAACCACTCTTTTTGACTTAATATTTTAAAAGACAATTTTTTTTTTTTTAATGTTGTTTTATTTTATCAATAGTTTAGTTTAATAATACCTTCCTACTCACAACTTTAAATGAGTTCTTCTGATAAACTGTTGATTAAAAAAAAAAAAAAAAAAATGAAATATCAAAATTTCAAAAAAAAAGTTATCTTAGAATTTTAAGTCAGATGTGGCAGTTAACACTTAAAATACTAAACAGCTGAAAGACTCATAAATATAGAAATGGATAAACTATTACGATGACATTGGATTTGTCTATGTAGTATATTTAATTTATATTATAATTAATTTGACTTACTGTAGGTTTAGATGATGATGAGATATTTGAGAGATTTGGAAGATTTGAGAGATCAACAGACTAAAAAAAAAAACAAAATTATATATTATTTAAATACATGTCAGTTTAAATTATAACCAGCATAATTAAAAATTAGAGACTGGAATTATAAACATTTTTGAGTTCATATACTGAGTGTATGCACCATAATGATAATTTGAAATTCTGGTCTCTATTAATGATTATTAATTAACATACATAATAATATAAAAATATTAAACATTTGTATTAGGTAGTATATAAAAGACAAATAAGGAGTAAAAACAAAACATAAACTCAACTTTTTTTTTTATGGTACAAATTACAAAATGTTATAGGTAGTAAATTGTCAGTTATTTCATTAATTTTGAACATGGTTTGACAATTTTTCATATAATTTATTCATTTTAAAATTTACTTAGTTGTATTTATTATTAATGAGTTTGTTTTTTCATTATGATACAGCTGTTAAATTGTTGTTATTTTAATCACTAAGTTATAATATTATTATATGTTTGATCTTAATTTTTTGCATACAATATTAAGATTTTAGTGTAGGTACACTAATATTATAATATTGTTGAGTATATTATGAAAAAAAAAAAAATTAATTTAAGTAATTATATTTTAAAATGGTAGTGTTATATTATTACTTAATTGTTTTAAAAATGTTTGATCTCAAATTTGTTTATAAAATATTCAGGTTTAAGTATGTGTGTAATGTATATAATATACATATTATAAAATACTGTATATATAAACATTTTGTAATTCTCATGCAAGTTTAATTAATTGGTATTAATTAACATTTTATCTAATATAGGTCAAAGAGAATTATAACTTTTTACTAACCCAGTGATTAAAAAATTGAAATTATAAACATATTAAAACTTGCATTGCCCGTCACCAAAAAAACAATATTGTGATTTAAGCTGTTCAAGCTCTACGCACCTTAAATTATAACCTATATCTAATTCTACACAACATATAATAAATATAAATAATTTGAATAATCATACTTACCTCAGTTGAAGAGCTTTGGCTAGGTATATTTGAAATGTCATCAACTAATAAAATATCCGTTCCAATATCAATAGATGATGATTCATTAATCTAAAATAAAAACAATTTAAGATAGGTAGGTAGGTACCTGATATTTTTTTACATTGATACAAATACTAGTATTCAGTGATCAATACTTTTAAGTAAAAATTTTACTATTTTCTACTTAATAGTTACGAGGTATATCGTATTATATAATGTAAGTATGTTGATAAAACTTACCTCGAAACGTATCAATATATTGGGATAAGTCCCACGCTGTTAGGAAGTCTGCTAGGTCATCGGACATCATTAAAATTTAACTAATTAACTAATAACAAGTTAATTTAAAAGTGACAACGAGAAAAACTGATGAACTATTTACTATAATGATGACAGTATGACACGAGTTTGGCAGTCGGTCGTCAAATAAAGAATCGGTGATTCTCGGCGGCATGCAGCGTCGGCGGCGGGTGTGGTAGAGTTAGTACACGGGTAAAACCCAGTTATTATTTAATTTTAACTCAACTTTGTTAACGATACATATCAATTTGGTTGTAGCTTAAAAATGGATGGTGTTATTACCAAAGATTTGTTGTCTACCACAATCGTTTAGTTGCTTAGAACTAACTTCAGTTGTGTGAACAAAAGTAAAATATTTGACTAACAAAACATTTTGTAAATATTTCGAGTCATACAGCATAGTTAGGTACCTACTACCTAGTGTTAAACCAAAAAGTACAATCCATATTGTATTAACAACTCAACTATATTTGTTCTATTCAAACAATTACTGTGAATGATACTGTAAATTCTGTACGGATCATAACTTTATTTATGTTCACAAAAATTAGTTACTATAACACATACTACTAGTATATACAACAAAAATATATTAACAGTAATTGATATGTACGTACAACAAATTGCTGAATTATTCGAACCGGTTAGTTTTATAATTGATACAGTTTTTTAGTAACGCTCACTATTTATACATTAACTTAACAGTTTTGTTAATAAAAACAGTAATATTTTTTTTAGTT